GTATGTTGTATCATGCTACATAAACTCCCGACAGTCAATAAACAAGGTAAACTGAATAGCGTTATGTATGTTGTATCATGCTACATAAACTCTCGACAGTCAACAAACAAGGTAAACTGAATAGCGTTATGTATGTTGTATCATGCTACATAAACTCTCGACAGTCAATAAACAAGGTAAACTGAATAGCTATATGTATGTTATATTGTGGTACATAAACTCCCGACAGTCAACAAACAAGGTAAACTGAATAGCGTTATGTATGTTGTATCATGCTACATAAACTCCCGACAGTCAAACTCCCGACAGTCAACAAACAAGGTAAACATTCAAGCGTTATGTATGTTGTATCATGCTACATAAACTCCCGACAGTCAATAAACAAGGTAAACTGAATAGCTTTATGTATGTTATATTGTGGTACATAAACTCCTGACAGTCACCAAACAAGGTAAACAGAATAGCGTTATGTATGTTGTATCATGCAAAATAAACTCCTGACAGTCACCAAGCAAGGTAAACAGAATAGCGTTATGTATGTTGTATCATGCTACATAAACTCCCGACAGTCAACAAACAAGGTAAACTGAATAGCTTTATGTATGTTATATTGTGCTACATAAACTCTTGACAGTCAACAAACAAGGTAAACTGCTTTCCCTGACAGCAAGTATAATATTTTTATTTATCATTTTCCCCGAACTTTTGACCAAAATGACATAAGATTAGTGGTTAAATTATTGTTGATTTATCTCCTTATTAATTATGAATATTTAATGTAAACATCTCATTTGTAAGTAAAAGAACTATGATACAAGATTTGACTATTAGGAAAGCAGTGCGCGCCACATTGATTCTGATACCTCTGCTGGGTCTTCATTACATCATTATCCCCTTTCGGCCCGAGCCTGGGTCACCGGAAGAAGTGGTGTACGAGCCCATCTCTGCTGCAGCGGCTTCATTCCAGGTAATGGTGTAAAAATATTTCTGAATTGCATTTACATTGATAATCATTAACGTTTACTCTTAACTACCCTGAACACATCATTCTATCAACTTTACAACACCAGACATTCTGATACAGGCTACACTTTGTTCTGTTAAAATGTTAAGTAACACTACACACTCTGATACAGGCTACACTTTGTTCTGTTGAAATGTTAAGTAACTAGACATTCTGATACAGGCTACACTTTGTTCTGTTGAGATGTTAAGTAACACTACACACTCTGATACAGGCTACACTTTGTTCTGTTAAAATGTTAAGTAACACTACACATTCTGATACAGATACACTTTGTTCTGTTGAAATGTTAAGTAACACTACACG